TGTGTGTGTGTGTGTGTGTGTGAGTGTGAGTGTCTGAAAGATATCCAAGGGGCACACAGTCAAATCTGCTTTAACTACAACCTGTCCAAGACACTCCCCTCTACAAAAGACCACTTCTCTTCGTCCATCTCCCCGCCCCATACCCTGATATTTTTACAGGATTGCAATGTAATTGTCCAAGATGATCACGCCTATCTAAGATGGCCACTTTTCTGCTCTTCAGTGGGTGGCAATCGTTCACAGGTTGGACGATGTGTACGAACGAAACCGTATCAAAATGGGTATAAATCTACAATGCATTGCATGGCATGGCATGGCATGGCATACCATACAATACCATACCATACCATACCATATCATACCATACTATACCATACCGTAACGGACCGTACCGTACCATACCATACCATACCATACCATACCATACCATACCATACCATACCATACCATACCATACCGTCCCGCACCGTATCATACCATACCATACCATACCATAATATAACGTATCATACCATACCATAATATAACGTACCATACCATGCCATGCCTTACCATACTATACCATACCATATCGCTTTGTACCGTACAGTACCATATTATACTATACCACATAAAAAAACAACGAATGTCATAGTTACCTTGAAGTAGAGGGTACAAGAAAGCGAACAGGTAGATAAATGGCATACTAGATGATCTCCGCCAGTGCCAGAGGCGAGGGCTGTGGTGCAGGTTCGAATTCACCGTTCTGTGGACGCTGTCTCTAACGCTGTCAAAGGAACTGGTCGGCATCAGCTCTCCTGGCTACTTACAGCGCTATCATGCCGTTTAGAACACAAACAGCGACAGGCAGTGGACGGTCACCCACTCCTTGCAGCAAAGCAAGCCATGGGGAGAGAAGTAAACCACGCCTCAGTAAACGTCGAAAAGAAAAAAAATCCTCAAATCAAGCCGTCTTTGTCCCAATTGGTGTATCGCTGCTAGCAACCAGCAATGAAACCCCATTCACAAGAAGTTGAAAATAGTTCGACAACTTTCAAAGTGTTTGCTTTTTGATAACAACCAGCAAAAAACAGTTTAAGCTGTGAGCTAATGCAATACACCTGATGAAAATCGATGAAAAGAAAATCCTTTCTGATGATGTGATGAGGACACAAACACTTTATAATGTCTCTGACGCCATCGGTTTCCAGGACAAACTATCATATTGCTTAATGGTCAGTGTCCTTAAAAATGACACCAAGGTCAGCAGGAACGTTGGCGTTATGATAGATCTAGAAGTCAGGGAGTGGATGAAAGGTTTTAAGTTGAAATGTTCAAAACGGGGGTGAAGAGGATTTGGGTAAAATATGGAGCCTGAAATTATTCTTCAGAAGCAAAGACAGAAAAAACATCGTGAAAAGAAAGCCGAAACGCCTAAATGATTATGACGTAAATACGTAATATTTTGATATTCTTAATTAAGGAGATACGGAGGCGATAAAAGTGTGGAAGCGATCTAACCGAATTAAGACAAGAAGCGGGATGACATGAATTAGGAAGGACACGCAAATGTTAGCGCAAGCCAAGCAGTTGAAGTGTTCTAAATGGCAGAGTTCCGCGTCTGCTGACAAGGATAAAACTGGTTTGATGAACGCTGATTAGACAGATGTACGTTTTGATTCCACTGTTTGTCCCCCTCCCCCCCCCCCCCCCCTTGAAAAGAAAAAAAAATACAAGCAATATTATGTATATGACAAACAGCCAAATCCTGTCTTACAACCACGCACGCTCATGTTTAATTAAATAAATCACAAATCTGAGTTGGAGGTGGTCATCGTTATGGAAGGTAATTAGATATCCAGGCACCTTTACACACGTTTTACATTTATCCTCGTCCATTCATAACAACACTAATTGATGACTATCAGATACCAATTTCCTGTTGCATCGTCCATGTGAAAAGTAAAACCAGAGTTTTAATATCAGCTGTTGAAACAATTCAAACCCCAATGTATTCCTGATTTTGACACTAGACATGCTTCAATTTGTCTTTCTCATTGTCTTTTTTAATTAATGAATTTTAGATTTTAGCTGATTTACAGCATAAAACCTTGTAAGTGGCCCTTGCTCTAAGTCGACCGTTAGACTATTGTCAAATACGGATGAGCGAAGTATAAACATTTTATTTTCATGTTGACAGATATTCTTGTATTTATGTTGTTAGTTTTGCCAAAGGCAGGAGTCGGCCATGAAAGCCATTGTAATATTAACGTTACTTAGAGAATACGGTTTTTAAAAATGACTGTTGTAAGTAAGCTCATTTTTTTTTACACCGCTGGTAAGGCAGAAAATAGCTTTTCGTCACAAGGAGAAGTGCTCAAAATTAATTTCCTTGAAGTATCGTTTCATGTTCTTATAAAAAAAGGATCTATAGCTGTCCGATTATAGAAGGGTATCATAATGTTGTCTTTACAAATACAATGATTTAAAATTAGTGAAATAGTCTCTTCAATTCCGACTTATCTTTGGTCCTTAAATAAAAAGTGAATAGGTCTTCATTCTATAAATTGACTTTAAAGACTCATTTGTCTTTTATTAAAAAATATACCCTGATTTTCTGCATTGATGTTTTTCTCCCAAATTCAACCTTATCGTTCTGTTCCCTACGACACGAGATTTTAAACTACGGACTTTCAGGTAAGATTTTAAGATTTTTTGGCAAAATTGGTTCTTATTTCCATTTAAATCTAAACCGTTCACAGGAACGAACAACGGTACCGTTCCGTTACAATTCGTTCCCCATCGGTTTTGATTTGAATTAATTTATTCCCCAATCGATTGTCCAAAACGTGTTACGTTGGTATCTAAATTTCGAAAGTTTTCAAGAGATCTCTAATGAGTATTATGGTTTTTGTCATTTGCCAGAAGGTGCTTACTCTCAGAAGTTGAGACACTACAGCAATAGAAGGAAGTTTTCTTCTGAGTACCTTTGCAAAAATAATTTCGAGAGTCCTACATTTTGCACAAATCTGCGAAAATAAAGATCCATCAGCCCCTGTTGTCAAAGATACAATGTGTAAGAGGCAATCGCATCTTGCTTTTAAAGATAAAAGCCTCTCACAGTGTTTCTTGAGGTGGTATTGCCCTCTCCAATGTCTCTCCCTCCCTCACACCCACTCTCTTTTTCTTTCTGCCTGTCGTCTGCTCACCCCCTCGCACACGCATTGTGTCAGTGTCGCCTGCCACTCTTCTCACTTGATCTTGGACAACGACGGTGACAGACGTTGAGGGAGAGTGTCGGAGAGACAGAGACGAGAGGGAAGGGGAGGGGGAGGGTTGGGAAGAGTCGGAGAGAGGGGAGGGAAGAGTCGGAGAGAGGGGAGGGAAGAGTCGGAGATAGGGGAGGGAAGAAGGGGGTGGGTGAAAAAGTGAGTGAGTATATAT